TTCTACCGTTTGAATGATCTCTTTTAATAACTTTATCAAATTCAAAATAATAAGATAGAACAACATCTTTTGTTATCATATTTTAAAACTCACCTCCAAACTTTTTCTATTTTTCCCCACATGGAATATGAAAGTTTTGTATAGGTATAGTCAAAGGTGGAATCACATGATTCGTACCATTAGTTGTTTGACTGGAAGTAGTCTCAATGGTATTCATTTCTGTTACAAACATAAGTTCAATGCACAAAATGAAAGAAAAGAATACCACAAGAAGGCTTATTCCAAAAATAAAGAGCAGTAATTAGTTTTCAACAAACAATCACAAATAAGTGTTTTGTTTTAAGATTATTGGAGAATTGTTTAGTGAAATGGTTGTCTGTTTAATTAACAAAATAACGGTTAAGCTTAATTCGTATGAGCGTAGTTGAACTCTACGTAAAATTGAAATAAAAATAAAGAACGATTATGAAAAGAAGTAAAGAAAAGAAATTTGAAGCTAGTGATTAACAATTTTTCCTTAAAACAAAATTGCTTAGCAACGGTGCTAACAGATTACAACACTTGTCTCCTAAGATACAATGTATACAACTTGTGATAGAAGCATTTCAAACCATAAGTAACAGTGAACTCGAACGAAATTCTTTCCCTCTACGAAAAAATGATTTTGGAATAATCTTAAGAGAATTTTTGCAAGTGAATTGATGTAATGTTTAATGCAAATAATATGGGAGGCATATTGGACATCCAAATGATCCTATTCATAGAAGATGAGATGTTATGAGTGAAGAGTTACGCCTTAAAACTTAGCAACCTTCATAAGGGTAACATCTCTTGCTGTCACTGGCCTATCGCTTAAGCGCTAGTGACACTTGTTTAAAAGAACATTTTTCTCCTATCGCACGAACGCTAGGCAAGTGGTAGAGTTAGGCAAATTTAAGGCCAGTTTTTTTTCCCCCAATTTTGGATCTTAATTTCTCTTTTATCTTGAATTGGTTTTAAGATTTCAAATACACTACGACAACCTACTCGACAAGTAGAAAAAGTTAGTTTATTTATATTTATAATTTGACTATCGGATCAAGTTCGAATATTTGGTAGAAGTAGACACTAATCGCTTTTCAAGATTTATACTTAACCAAAATTTTCAATCTTTAAACCAAATTTCAATAGGTCTTAGAACTGGTTATTAGAGAGGTTCTAGGATTGATAGAAGGTTGGTTGGACGTTATTTTGACAACATTGATTAATGTACATGTGTAAGGACATATTTCATGCACATTATTAATAATATTAGACAAGATTTTAATTTTTTTAATTTGTAAGTCTTTCAATATTATTCAAATGTAGCATTCTAAACATACATAAATAAAACTTCAAGAATTTGAAATTTTCTCTAATTTATGTAAATACTGTTGTTGAGTAAACATTGATTGAATTGTTAATGGATTCCAATAATTTGAAATTTGCTATAGTTTCGTTTGATTAAAACTTGCTCAAACATAACTCGATTGACATTTCTGAATTGACAGGTGAATGTTCTCAACAATTTGAAGGCTTGACCTGAGTCGGAAAGGTGAGAACTGCTTGAGTTCCACCAAGAGAAGTGATGGTTGATATCGATGGATCATATC